CTATGACAAAATACACAAAATACATTTTATTGTATCTCTTCAAGAGTCTTCACTACATACACTGAGTCTGCCCTGACATGGATGTACACCAATGACACATTACCTGGTTAATGACTGTATAAAAGGCATTTTTAGAAAGGCTATATTGTTCTATCACATTTGTATATCCATTTGCAGAACAAGTGCATCCTGTCACCCAGTGAACCTGTCATAGTATCAACATGGACTTCAGGAGCCTTTACCTCTTACCTTAACTTCTCTCCCTCCATTATTTTAAATACGCCTCTCCTCTATCAGCGCGCATCTCTTTGACCTGCCCTTGCCTCTCTGCCTCCATCTGTCCATCCTCCCACTTTGGTAAATACAACTTGTTCTGGCTTCAGGTGGTCAGGGTCTGGCTTCAGGTGGTGTGTGTGTTTGTGTGTCTTTTGGGAAAGAGACATCACTAGCAGTCAAGTCATTGAACATTAGATGAACCATCGGGCTGTGTGATGTTTGTTTACCTGGCCTGTCTGCCTCCCCGTCTGTGTGTGCGTGAATGCGTGTGTGTGGGGTCTGGCTTGCTTTGCTGGCTACGATGCTCGACTGAGCTGATGGATATGCATACTGGCTAAACGGACGGATAAAAGGAAAGATGGAGGGGGAAATGTGGGGATGGTGGACGGAGAGACGTTAGCTAGTTGAGCTCCATTTGGGCAGATCATATCCAAGCCACTGGTCTCAGTGATTAACGGGTCTGTCAGAGACTGATGGAGAGAGGAAGGGATAGAAGGCGGTGAGGGTAGAGAGTAAGAGAGACCCATTTGGAGCACGAGAATTATTTGCATTTTATCAGATCGGCTCATTAAAGGACAGTTGTTTAATGTTGATTCTTTATTTTATGTTGAGGTTGTTTGCGCTTTTGTTTAAAAGGGATCTGAGTTTTGTTTGTGATTGTCCAATTTAGTTTCAGTCTCTTTCCCTTTGACAACAACTTAAGTGACATTTGCATTCTGTTCGAAAGCAGCTTAAGTTCACTCTGCTCTTCGAGATCTGACCAACACCAGAAGACACACCCCTAAAATTCCAATACACTACGTTCATAATCTTGATTTTGTAGTTTTCAGGCTGTTTCTGTTGAACGAAGAGCTACATTACAGCCGGCTAGAGGGATGAGGGAGTAGCTGCCATTGATTTCCTGAATGTACAGAGCGTTCAGTTCCTTTTTCTACCTTCTTCACAAGTCAAACCTTTATAGAGCAAACCAAACCTTTTCCTCTGACAAGCTTCATCCCCTTGTCATTGTCCTCCACTATTGCCAGTTACCCTTACTCCATCCCTCCTCTATTTCCCCCTGTCCCATCTGTGACAGCGTTTCTCATCGCCATAACAATTGGCAGAGGGAGACTGAAATTAGGATGCCAAAGCACTCACCAGTGGCCCCGTCCCTCACCCCACAAGTGTGTGTCTGTGTGTGTGTGTCTCTCTGTCTCTATGTAAATGTGTGTTCCCAGTAGAGAATGACACCCCTCATTATAGGTTTTGTTATATTACCAGTTACTTAGGTGTTGTGCAGAAATGCTTTACTGCATTTTTATCAGTGTTTACTACAGTTTTCACCAACATAAGGAGCCAGGATTTTTCTTGAGTGGATTTTAAGCGAGGTGCCATTATTGGCTGCAGTTGGTGAAATGACTTCACACATATTATTCAAATATATTCTGTTTCTCTACATCTCTCCATCTCCACCTTCCCTCTCGGTCACGCTGTATAGATTAGTATCTGTGGTGGAGAGCGGCTGTATCGCTGTCAGGCCATTAGGAGCTGTCTAAATAGACAGTAAACGCATTTTAATTAGCTTACAATTACACACATGCATACATACACTGACACACACATACACTGACGCATACACTCCCTTTTCACCATTTAGCCCCTGGTGTTGGCCAGATGGGCGCATGGCCCAGTAAAAAGCCCTCCATTACTGGCTGGACTTGACCAAACTGATCCACCCCTCAGCCTGCTTACCGGGGTCTCAACGGGGCTACTGTGGGCCCTTGTTGCCACATACCTATAATTTAGCCCCCCAAGTGCTTTCCACATGGCCACGGCAAAAAGCCGGCCTCCATTGTAGGGGTCTGGTAATTGTAGTCTCGTTTAGAAAACCGCAAGTAGCAATTAGCGCAGAGTTGGCATTATACAGGGTTGGAATTGCATCCCCGCTGGGCGCAAAATGCTGTTTTAATATGGGTTTGTTTTCCCCACATGGAATTAGCTAAAGGGCCTTTTTTTCATATTCACACACCCTACTCTTCTCCCAGCTACGCTCTGTTCCCACCTTACGCTTTTCCTCTGCATTACCTCTCTTTCTCCTTTTCTTTCCATCTTTTCATTTATTCTTTTGTCTTCACCTCTGAATCCCTCTCACCATCACTCCATCTTTTGATTGAATGTTGTCTTACCAAAGCATCCGACACTTTGAAGAGTTATAGGAAGAAGAGTCTCTGATGTAAACATGTCTAACGATGACGGTGTCTGTCTGTTCTGTATTTCTCTTTCGCTCTGTCACAGAGGCGGTAGATATCCTGAAGGAGATGAAGGAGAAAGGTGTGGTGTTGAACGAGTCAAACCTCACCATGCTCTTCTACGTGTTCAACAGCTTAGTGGCCGAAGGTGGCGTCTCCACCATCCGACGGCTGCAGGACACCATCTTCACCCTCGGTCTGGCCAAGCCCACCACCAATCTCTGTTCCCCCCTGATTTCTGCCTACCTGGAGAGGTACTAAAATCACACATGCACTGATTTATCCAATAGTTTATGGTATTTTTTATTTATTACTATCGTTGTATCATTTTATTGTCTGAAGTTCTCCACTACCCAGTGAACAAGCTCACTTTTGTTGTCATATTTTCGTCTTCATCTGCCAAACCCGGTTGCCAGGTGTGTGTATGTCTGTGTATCGCAATGAGTCACTCATCCCTCCCTATGATCATAGCTGAGGTTACATTCTGGGTCAGCGATTCAGACAGAGAGAGGATGTGGAAATTGTTCACTTATTTGTGTGTTTGTGTGTAAGATTGGTTGTTTGTGTGTGTGTGTGTGTGTGTGTGTGTGTGTGTGTGTGTGTGTGTGTGTGTGTGTGTGCGTGTGCGTGTGTGCGCGCATTGCTGGAGCCAGTTTTTTCATTTTTCGTTTTGAAGATTCACCAGCTGCACCCGCTCCCATGAGCCCCCACCCCTGATCTCATGAAACACCCTCTGCTATACTCCAAGATGTGTGTGTCTGTGTGTCTGTCTGGCTGTGTTTGTGTTTGTTTGTGTGTGTGTGTGCGTTTGTGTCTGTCTGGCTGTGTTTGTGTGTATGTGTGCGTGCGTGCACGTGTGTGTGTTTGCATGAGAGTGTGCATGAGAGATGGCCATCAGTGCTTCCTCCCATAATGCAAATGTATTACCAAATACTGGCTATGGGGTCACCAGTATTACCCAACCCCACAAATCCATTCTGTGTGTGTGTTGCTGTGATTTATTTGTCAGAGCAGCTTTTAAGTAGATCAACTCATTAGCATGTTAATTATGTACAGAGCACTAATTGCTGGATTTAACACAGACACACAGTGCGTCGTTTGGGGCCCGGCACCACACACACACACACACACACACACACACACGCCCTGCACATGTTTTCGTACACACTGTGTAACTGTAGTGTACATGCTGCTGCAGAGGTAGACCTCTGAAAATGAAGCTTGTGCAAACACACAAGCTCAAATGCTCACAAACACTGGTGCTCCCCCGCTGCAGTTTGTTTTGCTGTAAGTCTGTGCTCTGGCACAAACAGAGTTTCCAGGTTCACTCGTTAATCACTGCCTCTGTGAGATTAGCAGGCTAATTTACTTCTGGGTCATCAACAGCAGTCGCAACACACAAATGCACACATCAGCTTACCGCTGCCCTGTTCACGAATCAAGTGCCAGTTTCACTTCCTTCAAATGATGGTGCAGTGAACACACACTAATGTAAACAAGCTAGTATTCTACCACAATCTGTCTTTTGTCAATTGTACAACTGTGTTTTTACCTGATTATGCTCATATATAGATGCAGTTATTTTGACAGTGGTCAACTTGATCATATGATCGATTGTTGTTGTTTAGAAATGTTAGTGTACACAGCAACATATTTCTTGAAGTTCCTCTAATTTTGACTTTTGCAGCTTTCTTTTTAAAGCTGTAAAAGTACTGTACAATAATTGAGCAAAGAGCTGTTCACCTGTTCATCGAAGCTCGACTCTGTACACAGGATCGATTGGAGAATCAGCTGTTGTAGCGAACGTATCATGTGCTCAGATTGCACCACATTCAACACTGCACTTCCTTGTGCCCTTAACAATACACCTGCCAAGTGTGAGGCTGATAAGATGAGTGGTTCTTCAGATATGTGAGCCACATTTAGACAGAGATTCCTGGAACTGTTAGATAGATGATTGATTGAACATATTCCAACCTGCAGGAGTCAGATGAAGCCAACACATTAGTTTCAGGAAAAAGCCTATAAAGGCTTCTTGTAATATAAATGAATGAATGGGATTGTAGTGAAAAAGCATAAAAATATGAACCAGATTTAACCTGTTACAGTGGTTCAGCTCAGCCTGGGCAGGTTTTAATGCCACAACACTTGACCTTTGAACTCCAGTCGAATCTATCTCCTCTCTCTTCCTCGTTTCTTATTCTATGAACTTTATCCTTTCGTCTCCACTTTTTCATTCCGTCAGTCAGCAGTCAGACAGACAGTTGGGAGGAGGGACGGAGGGGACGTGATGATAAAAGAGGACAAAGCAGGCATCATCCCCGCCTGCACCCGTCTCATCGCTGCGTCAGCGCTAATGACTTAATGAACACTTCTCTGGCAGATTAGCCCTTGACAGCCCATCATATGCACCGCCCCGTTAGCCTTCACGCCCGTCCGCTCAGTATTGTACGTGCTGAACGGCTACTGCGTTAGCTAGCTGAGATTGCCACATCCTTGTGGAAGTGATTAGCGTCGGAAAATGCTAATGAGTCCAGCTAAATGAAGAGCTGGCAGGACATGTATGATAAGACAGTGTCGATGGAAGAGGAGGAGGAGAGAGATGAGAGCTCAGAGGAAAAACACCTCATCCACTGTTTTTCTGCCATCTTGTGTTGAGCATACAGTGAAAAACAGGTTAACATATAAATTGAAGCAGCCAGAGGTGAAAAAAAGGAAGTTAGAGGGAAACATAGGGAAATAATAAAGGGTTTAAACACATATGTCCACCTAAATTGATATTTTCATCAGGAGGACCATAGTGGACTGGTGGTTGCAACTACTGAAGGCAACTGATATTTTCAGCCTCCACTTTATAATACGTCGATTGTGTCGAATAATGTGTTGTCAGCATTTTTGAATGCCCCTGAGTGGCAAATCTAATGACTGAGTAGGTATGACTGTGTGGGTGTTGGTGTGAACATAAGTGCCATTCTTCAGCACATGTAACATTGGGCTTGTGGTGTCATGATCACACTCTCATTTGCGTTTTGAGACACACAGACACCTCGTCCTCCCCCCATCTTGAGGACAGTGGCTTGATAACAGGCCTGCCGATCTCCTCCGAACAAAAGAAGGGGACGGAGAAAAGGAGTGGGGGAGTGAGATGAGCCAAAATGAGCTTCCTTGTCTAATCCTTCAGGTTTCCACCGAGCAAAGCGCTCGTTATTTTTTCAGGGATTAATTGGCTGGAAAGTGGCTGACATGCAAAGTTGGGGACATTAACAGGGCTCTGCGCTGCAGTAAATGGCAACGCAAAGTGACAGTTAAATTGTACCTAGGGGAAATTATCCATCTTTCGACATCCTTAGGTCTTTTTTGGGGTGGATCGGCGGGCGGAGAGAGGGGTGGGTGGGGAGGGGGTGTAATTGCAAGGCCCTTTTTTTTTTTTTTTTGCAAAGAGTGATGGGGTGTTTTTGTAAGATGTCTCATTAGGAAGGAGGGATTATAAGTAGGTGTGGAAGAGCTTGATGGAGGAATGAATGAGGTGGACTGATAGAATGTGGAGGAGGAGTTTTGAAACATCCATCCAACATGACTTGGCTACAATGTACAGAAACGGCTCTTGGGTAAGACACCGTGTTTACTACTCAGCAACATGCGATATAAGTTTTAGTTTAATTAAAATCAGCTTTCCACAATTTTTTTGTCCTTGTCTAATTTTTGTAGTAAATTGCGTCCCGCCATGCCCCTCCTCTTTATCTCATTTTCAAAAATTCTCTGTCTCTCCTCTGTGTCGTTGAACAGCCTCTTGACTGGCGCTGCTGAATAATGTTGTCCCTCTTCATTTCAATTAGCGGACCTCTTTACCTTCCAACCCTTATCACTCCATCCCTCATCCCTCCCTCGCTCTCTCCTGCTTCTGCCAAACTCAAGGTCACTACATTTCCTATTTTTTTGTCAAGCGGTTTCTTGTCTTCTTTGGGCATATTTTCCTGATCAGCTCATCTAATTGATAAGAGGAGAAAACACTTGAGAAATTATACCTGTTCGCTCACACACTGTCCCTATCACGCTCCGTCTCTCTGTCTTTTTCTGGCTCACTTACTCTGCCCCCTACCTCCCCCTCGGGTGCCCTATCTGCTTTGACCTCTGTGTGATTGACATGGTAATTACCCAATCAACAGATTGATGGCAGCGCTGTCACAATAGAGGGGATTGAAGTGGTCTGTCTTCCTCCCCCTTCTCGCAGCTTCATGTTCTTTTGCTTCTTTCCCCCATCTCCGTATCTCCACTCCTCTCGTTATCACTCCATCAAGTGCACTCATCCTCTCACCACGGGCTGTTTTGTTTGTTCATCCGCCCGCAAGGGATGGACCGTGTGTGGATTGGGGGGGGGGGTAGACTGAGCAAGAGAAGCATGACATGAGACAAGCTGGTGGTGGTAGGGGGGGGTCCTAATGTTGTTGCCATATTTCTGCTAAATTGCTCAGCTGGGGGGCAAGGTCGTCGGAGGGGAGTGAAAGCTGACAGCATGGAATCACAAAGCAAGATGTGGAGGCGAGAAGGAGAAGAAAGAAAGGAAGGAGGAGATTAGGAGGAACGGGGAAATGAGAAGAAGAGGAAATGAGGGTTAAAGGGAGTCTGAGAGGACAAAAGAAGAGAAAGAGCATCAGAGAAGTTGGGAGACGCGAAGGGAGCTGAGGGTAAAGATCAGTCGAGTCCTTTTATCGTTTGCATGTCTTCCCCTCTAAAAGCCTGTCCAGAGAGACATTAGCCTCTCGCAGACAGGTGCGCCTGATTGTGTGAGAATGATGTATTGGGGCCAAAAGGCCTCATCACCCACAGTTGAGCTGTCATGAATTCAAAGGCCTGTATTGTTGCAGTGGGTCGTAGTCCTTGAATAGGAGGTCACAAGGTTAACACCCATGATACACTCTCTATTCTCTCCTGACACAATCCCGTACATGACTGATTGCACAGACCTGACATCTAACTCGCTCTCTGTTCTCCCTCTCTCCCTCTCTTTTGTGTGTGTGTGTGTGTGTGTGTACACACCTGCAGTAAGGACCTGTCCGGAGCTCTGGAGGCAACGCTGGACTTTCAGAAGCGCTACAATCAGCTGCCTCGCATTCACGACATCCTCGTCGCTCTGGTGGAGAAAGGAGACACAGAGCTGCTGCAGAAAGGTTGAACATTTGTCTACACAGTCCTATTCTGATCCATCAATTAAGTGACGAATTGATCATTAACTTCTCTTGTGTTCTAAGTAAGCCGAGCATTTACTGATTCCAGCCCCTCAAACGTTAGGTTTTCAGATATTCTCAGATTTATGTAATTCTAGAGCTGCTTTCAAACATGCACTGAACTCTGCATAATCTGCTGACATTATCTGGAGGGGCTGAATGTGAGAATACAGATACCCAAGTCAACTGCTAAGGACATTAACTGTCCTGCCAACCTTTGTCCTGGTTAAAAAACTAATTGGATAATGTCCAAATCAGCCCATATGAGAATACAGCAGAAAATTATAGCAGAATGACAAAGATCCCTTGTTGGATTTGAACTGAGGATGTTGTGGTTCATGGTACGTACCACTAGGATGCCCCATCTCACCTCATAAATCCTCTGTGTCCAAACAGCTTTATTTTTTGTGTCTCGTGATTGGCAAAAAAACTTTTTATTATTCATTTATGTGTGTGTGCATCTGTGAGCTAGCAATCCTATGAATATAAGAGGACCAGAGAGTGTTCAGACGAGGGTTGCGGTGAAGCACGTCAGCGGATCACGTTTTGAACAGTCTCTCCGTGTGTCGACAGCGGCGAGGTGAAAAGTTCAAGTTCAGGGTGCCACTGGGGCAAGTGGCTCTCGAGTGTGTTAAAGTTCCAACCGTAAAGTGGAGCGCCTCTCCACCCCCCACCCCCCCATCCCACCCCCGCCCAATAAGAGGTGACAGACCCACAGTCGCTGCACCTTCAAAACAACATGACTTCTGCAACGATTGTCTGTCAAAGGGCTGAATAAAACAAATAATCCCCACTCCCTCATGTACAGACAGGTGCCTTACTACACAAACCTTAAGTCACCCTCGATCTGACAGCATTCAACACGTCGAAGTCTGCAGCCTGCTACACCGCGGCTCTCTCCTGTGGACCCCATGCTGTTGCAGTGCTCGGATAGTATGAAAACTCACCTGGAAACACACCATCTGAATTAAAAGCGTAAAACCTGCAGCCTTCCAACAGACTGACCTTCAGTGGTCTGAAACACTAAAAGCACGAGGCGGCTCGCCAAAAGCTCTCGACTCATGCGTTCGACCTTGATTTGAGTTCAAGCATCAACAAATAATAAAATGTAGGGTTTTTGTGAGGTGTTTGGCAACAGCAGAAACAGTGGATAATTTTGAAAAGGTTACCAAACACACTTAAAACCTGGAACGTGAGAAAGAGGTAAATAATATTAATCGGTGGTGTTAATGAGCTGATGTGGCTCAAGCTTCAAACTAGGACGTGCACAAAAGTAATACATCTAACTTTAGTCTGTTTGATCTTGACCCACAAACACAAATGTCACTACAGTTTTCTTTCTGTTGACTTTCTGTTGAAGGTAGAGGGATTATTCTTTCCTCCTCTGCATCAGTGATTGTGCCACTTCCAACTGAAAGTTTGCAGCGTGTGTTTGTGTGTTTGTGTGTCTGTGTGTGTCATACCTGTGCTGAAGCTGCTGCACAGAGATAATTCAAAATGCTGAGCACAGCGCTTTAGCAAGTTTACCAGTGGAGCTTAGACTTTCATTCGGGATTTGAGTTTGTTGGCATGTGCGTGTGTGTGTTTGACATGATACGGCTTCCCTGTGCCTGGGACATTGTGCCAAATAATGGGATCAGAAGGAAGGATGAAGTGTGCGGTGTGTTTGTTCACCTTGCAGTTATTTTTTATTCACGACCTCTGTCTCTTTCTCCTCAGCCATGGACTTCGTGAGTCAGGAGCGAGGGGAGATGAATATGCTGTACGATCTGTTCTTTGCATTCCTGCAGACAGGCCGCTTCCGGGAGGCTCGTAAGATCATTGAGGTAAACGCACACACACAATATTGGTTTTATATTAATTAAATTAAGGAGCTCTTTTATTAATCCATGTGTCTGATTTTCATTTATCAGATGGAACAGGTCCCTCTTAAAATCAAATCAAACATCTGATGTTTCCAATAATAACCCATTTAAAACATGAAAATAAGTTTAGATGATAATAATAGGAGAAGAATCATAAGAGCTTTCATGTATTCTACCAGTGCCTACACGTCACTAACTGTGAAACAGTTAAAGTAAATGGCTCTGCCCGACTGTCATGAGCCACAGAGGCCGTGCAGTCTTTTTGTCATCGTAGCTCATCTGACCTGGATATTTTATGAATATGTATATATTTGTCATCTTAAGTCCTGCGATAAAACCCTGTAGATTAGTGTGAGAAAAATAGAAAGGCAAAGCAGGCAGATAAGAAGCGATTTTCACGTGGATAAAACGGATAGGCGGTCGGGGACTGGATAGCAGGACAGAGAGATTGATGATTAAATGAATAGAGGGATGAGTCTGACATCATAGGAAGGGAAACAAGGTCATTATGTTTTCTGATCAGGATGAGAACAAAACGGAAGAAAAAAAATGCCTTCACTCTGACTCTCTCTCTCTCTCTCTCTTGTACGGTTGGGCATTAAAAGAGGGATTTGTTCCCACTTGAGGATTTTCAAACCCTCTTAAATATTACTGACATGTTGTTATTGTGATTCTCA